ACAAGTTAAAGTCTCATTGTAGTTAACTCTGGTGTGTTTTTAAAATTGATTAAATTCACGGTGGCCTTGTGTTTCTCACGGACACGCGCACACACAAACGCGCATGGCCGTCATGTCGGTCCCAGCTCTCGTGAGCAGCGTTCTTTGCAATTAGCACTCAGTACCTCTACACTTTGTATCACGGTTCTCAGCAGAAACAAAACCTGTCCACTCCAGTCCAGGGAAGTGCTGGCAGGGTCTCGGAGGTCAAGCCTAAGGGCTGGGTTTTCTTGCGTTTGTTTTTGTTTTTAAGGAGCATTAAGTCCCTGTGCAGCTGGCGACATTCGTATTTCATGACGGTGTTCCTCCCGCACGGCCACACTGCGCACCGCAGAGCCTCAGCGCAGTAGCACGGTCACCGCGCACCCCCCTCGCGTTCCCCCTCGCTGAAGGGAGGAGGCCAAGCACTCGGGGAGGGAGTCCTTCACTGCTGAAACCTCTCTGGATACGTGCCCTGGGTGCTGCAGTCCTGTGGGGGCCCTGACAGTGTCTGCCGCAACAAAGGAAGGTAAGCCTGCCCTGTTGAAAATGGATGTCCGATGTCGGCCACTAAATTGAACGCCATCCAGACCTAACTAGCCTAAAAGGCAGTTGAGCCTTCTGAATAACACAGTCTGCGGGGATATTTCTGAGACGCTTTGCAAAGCGTACTATAGAAGGGTTAAGCACACTGAGTTGTTACTTAGGGTTTCCAGTGTTATGGAAGCCACTTACTGCCACGGCACCTCTCCTGTCACACTGCACAGAGTGACGTCCTGCTCCTTGGCATACCAACCGTGGGAAGCAGGGCAAGTTACTTTACCTCCTTGGGACTCAGTTTTGCCATCTGTGAAATGGGAATACAAAAAGCAAATACTTCGTAGAGGTTGTTGAGAGAATTCAATGCAACAATGCGCCTGAAACGCCTTAGCCCAGCGCCTGCCCGGACAACGCAGTCACAGGCAGCGGGCACCTTCCGGCCCTGGTGGGAAGGGCTCTCCGCCTGCAGACCTCGAAGCCAGGCTTGTCCCCATCCGGCACCACACCGCTCCTCAGCCTGGCCGGGCCTCCTGCCAGGGCCACTGGAAACACGGGGCTCCGGAAACCTCCGTGTCAAGGCCACGAGTGTCCACAGTTGGCGATGACAGCATGTGCTGGAAAGCGGCAGTCGAGGGGAGCAGTGGGGTCTGACCAGGAGAATCCAAAGCTCAAAGACCCGCGGCTCAAGTCTTCTGCAACGATTCAAGTTGGCTCTTCTGGGGACTCCTGTCCATGGGGTGTGGTTGGCTCCCTCGGGGTGGGGGGACTCGGAGGATCCCACAGACCTCTGACCTCTGTCCCCTGCCCAGCTCCTAAGCTGTGAGGTGGGTTTCCCCTGACAGGCCCGCGGTGCCACCGGCCAGGCCTGGGAACACGGGCAGACGCCGCCCGGCTGGGAATTCACCACGACTTTGGCTCTGCCCGGAGGCCTCTCTTGGCTCCCCGGCAAGATTGTTTCTTCTGGGCTCCAGTATCCGGAGTGACAGCTAATGAGGGTCTGGAGGCCAGTCAGAAAAATTGCAGCCAGTTTTATTACTACAGATAAAAGCCAGGCAGAGTGAATTGGAAAGCGCCGCTGAGCGAGAGACAGAGGCTCGATTCAGCTCAGGTCCTCGGAAGCCACGGTGCCAACCTCTGCCTGGCACCGCGGCCCAGCGGAGTCTAGAAGGTGCAGACCCGGGTCCCATTTAAACACTTCCAGCTCCCTTCAGAGTGTCCAGTTGAGAGCTGAGCCAGGGCGCTGTGTAGGGCCCACATCGACAAGCTCAGAATGAAAACGGTAGAAAGGGCTGTGGCAGGAACGAAGGAGAGAAAGCGAAGCTCCAAGGCCGTGTGAGGAATAACGATCTCGAACAGGCCTGGTGTCCAGACAGGGCTCCGGACAACCCAGTTCACCCGGGACAGCGTCGCAGAAACTTTCAGGAAGACCCGCGTGGCATTTTAAATTGTTCCTTTGGCAACAGGGAAGATGGAGGGCCTTCAGAGGCAGAGCCCGCCGCTTCAGCTTTATGTGTGACTAGAAACGAGCCCATGTGGCTGCCGCGGAGGATGCACCGGCACAGCCTCTAAACAGAATTGGTTTACATTTACGACCTGGCATGCTGGGAAAGTTATGATTCGCAATGACTTAAATTCTATTAGGCGATTCAATTTCCATTAGGCCTTTTCCCACTTTTTTTTTTTTGAGACAGAGTCTGGCTCTGTTGCCCTGGTTAGAGTGCCATGGCGTCAGCCTAGCTCACAGCAACCTCTAACTCCTGGGCTCTAGTGATCCTCCTGCCTCAGCCTCCCGAGTAGCTGGGACTACAGGCATGCGCCACCATGCCCGGTCAATTTTTTCTATATAT